GGGGCCGGCCGGGGCGCTGCCGTGGCTCCTCCACGGCCCCCAGGGCGGCCAGGCGGAGAGGCAGGGGGTTGACGTGCACCAGGTGTTGCCAGGCAGCCTCGAGCCATTGCTGGCAGGCTTGCAGCAGCAAGTCCAGAAAGTGCACCAGAAGGTGCAGGGCGAGCTCTGGCTCCATGTTGCCACCTGCGGCGGCGTCCCTGAAGGGAAGCACCGACACACACGGGCGCAGAGATCAATGCTTTGCTGTCCCTCGGCGAGGTTGGCAAGCAAGCAGGAAAAGCTGAGAACCAGCTGTCCGGGGGGGGGGTCCCTTTAAGCACGAGCCTCAGACAGCAGCCACACAAAGCAACTACTGACCTGATGCCCTGCCAGAACCGGTTTCAGCCGCCCTTATATGCCCCCCTGCGTCCAATCAGTGTGGACGCGCTAGTTCGAATTGGCAAAACGCTAATTCGAACTAGTTTTTAGTTCTAGATGTGTTAGTTCGAATTAGCTTAGTTCAAATTAACTAATTCGAACTAAGTTAGTTCGAATTAGCTCTGTACTGTAGAAGTACCCTCAGTTATTTGAAGGGGTCAACAAACATGTGGACAAGGGGGATCCAGTAGATTTAGTGTATTTAGATTTCCAGAAAGCCTTTGACAAGGTCCCTCATCAACATCTCTTAAGCAAAGTAAACTGTCATGGAATCAGAGGGAAGGTCCACTCATGGATTGATAACTGGTTAAAAGACAGGAAACAAAGGGTAGGAATAAATGGTGAATTTTCAGAATGGAGGGAGGTAACTAGTGGTGTCCCGCAAGGGTCCATACTGGGACTAATCCTATTCAACCTATTTATAAATGATCTGAAGAAAGGGGTAAACAGTGAGGTGGGAAAGATTGCAGACGATAGTTAAGACCAAAGCAGACTGTGAAGAACTCAGAAAATGAAGTGATTGGGCAACAAAATGGCAGATGAAATTTAGTGTGGATAAATGTAAAGTAATGCCCATTGGAAAAAATAACCCCAACTATACATTAGCTACAACTAATCAGGAAAGAGATCTTGGCGTCATTGTGGATAGTTCTTTGAAGAGGTCCATGCAGTGTGCAGCGGCAGTCAAAAAAGCAAACACGATGTTAGGAATAATTAAAAAAGGAATAGAGAATAAGATGGAGAATATCTTATTGCCCTTATATAAATCCATGGTACGCCCACATCTTGAATACTGCGTACAGATGTAGTTTCTTCATCTCAAAAAAGATATACTGGTATTAGAAAAAGTTCAGAGAAGGGCAATTAAAATGATTGGGGTTTGGAACGGGTTCCATCTGAAGAGAGATTAAAGAGACACCGTGGAAAAGAGGAGGCTAAGGGGGGGGATATGATAAGAATTATATGAAATCATAAGTGGTGTGGAGAAAGTGAATAAGGAAAAGTTATTTACTTGTTCCCATAATATAAAAACTAGGGGCCACCAAATGAAATTAATGGGCAGCAGGTTTAAAACAAATAAAAGGAAGTTCTTCTTCACACGGCACATAGTCAACCTGTGGAACTCCTTGGAGGTTGTGAAGGCTAGGACTGTAACAGGGTTTAAAAGACAACTAGATAAATTCCTGGAGATTAAGTCCATTAATGGCTATTAGCCAGTATGGCTAAGGAATGGTGTCCTTAGCTTCTGTTTGTCAGAGGGCGGTGATGGATAGCAGGAAAGAGATCGCTTGATCATTACCTGTTCAGTTCACTCCCTCTGGGACACCTGGCATTGGCCACTGTCAGCAGACAGGGCACTGGGCTGGATGGACCTTTGGTCTGACCCAGTATGGCAGTTCTTATGTTTTTGTTCCTGTTGGCTGGAAAAAGTCAAGCCAATCAGAGGTGTGAGAGATTGACCTGGCAGATGGGGCTAGTGAAAGCCTCTTCCCCAATCCATAGAGGGAGTAGCCTGTATCTTCAGGTGGTCTGGAGCTGCAGCAGAAAGGGCACTCAGCTTGCCTTGGGAGTGCTGTGAGCCCGGATATGCTTAATTAAGTGTCTCCCAGACAAAGCCTGCTTCTGGCACCCCTACCCCTCACTCGTCCCAATTCCCTCCCTCACTGCAAGTCATCTGACCCCATTTCTTGGGCCCCGTTTCATGACCCTCCCCTTCCCCCCCAGATTCCGCACCCCTGGATCCCCAGCCAGCTGCCAGATCTGCAGTTGGTCTGTTTTCGAACCATGCCTAGGGACTATCTGTACACGCTTGTGCTCCACACACTGCATTTCCTCACCCTTGTGTCCTGCCCTGACACCAAATGGCAGGACTATTTAAGACCTGTTGAGGGTGGGGAACCCCAGCGGGCCAGCTTGTATTCCACCTTGATCCCACGGCCCATCGGGGGCATCAGTTGGCGGCTCCTTCATGGAGCCGTGAGCATGGGCATGTACCTGGCGCGGTTCACTACTATCCCAGACAACCTGTCCTTTCTGCGGCGAGGGAAACCCTGGCACGTAGAGATACCTAGAATGCACCAGGTTGAAGCCCCTATTCCAGCTCCTCCAGAACCTCTTATTGAGGTTCTGGCTGCACTTTTCCCCACAGCTTTTTATTTATGCACACCCCATCCGTGGCCCCACAAAGTCTCGAGGCCTCCTCGTCAACTTCCTCCTGGCCCTGGCAAAAGCTGCTATCTATAACACCAGGAGGATGCTGGATGAGGGGGTTCTCTGCGACAGTGGGGCCTATTTCCGTTCCTGCCTAATTTCACATATCTGGGCAGAGTTCCTCTGGGCTGCGTCCACTGGCTCCATCAATAGCTTTGAGGAGCAGTGGGTGTTGTCCAAGGTCCTCTGCTCAGTGTCCCCATCTGGCTCCATTGTTTTGAACCTCTGTCCTGCACCCCGTGACTGTGTTTTTCATTATTTGTCCCCTGGAATCAGTTGATCCCTAGGTCCAGTCATCCCTCCTGCAAGGCTGGGGGAGGGGCTTTTAGAAGTGGGCAGGCTGATGCCTGCCCACCCCTAGGGTTTCAAATAGGCCCAACTCTCTCCCTCACATCACCATCCAAACCCTCTGCAATCCCTCTGCCCCAGGTCACAACTCCCTCCCAGATTCTGTACTCCCTCCTACAGGCCAGAATCCTCTCCTGCACCCAGACCTTGCACCCCATTTCCCTGCCCCAAGTCTCAGCCTACTCCTTCACCCAAACACCTTCTCAGACCCCACACCGTTTCCTACACTGCAGTCCCTTACCCCAGTGCCCTTCTGTACCCAGCCTAGACCTCACATCCTAGACCTGCAGCCCTTGATCACTTACCAAAATCTTAGTGGCTTCCCACCAAAAATTATTGCCTGCCCCTAGTGTACACTATCACGTCCCTAGCTTAAGTATGAGCTAGTAATGACTAGGGACTAAATACTAATGAGATTGTCCCTCCATCTTGGTCTTGTGGAGTATTAGCTGAGTAAGAAAGCTTTGCATTGCCATTGTTTCTGTTCTACCTGTTCGGTTACTAGAACTGACAATTGAGTTCTTTGAGTCCTAAATTTACTACAAAAATGTTTAAATTTTTGTAGGTATTAGATGTTTTCAATGGTACAAATGTACATTGAGAAATAGCTAAAATAACTGTATCTTTGACTAAATTTACTCCATCATTTACTAAAGCTTTACAAATCATGTTTAATGTTTCCTATTTCTTTCAGTCTGTGTCATCATTTAAACCTCGAAAAAGCAGTTCTTCTTCAAGTTCTCCTTCCAGACGCAGTAGTAGCAGATCCAGATCTCGTTCTCCTGGTCGGTCATCAAAAGGCAAACGTCGTTCTTCCTCCCAAAGCAGAGAATCTAAAGATGAGAAAAAGAAAACTGTTCGGGAAGCTAACTTAACTTTTCTGGTATTGAATTAATTTCTGATTTAAGATTTGTTCAGATCCTGTGTATGTGCACTGATATATACTGTCTTTTAAACATATGTAGTCTAAAATGACACATTTTTAGTGGAGTGAAAAATTTGAAGGTTTGGATTAGGGATGTTAAATTTTGACTAATTGACTAATTGAATAGTTGATGCAGTTTGCAACAACTATTCGATTATTCAATAGGGCACCTCCGCCTTTGAAGTGTAGCAACAGCGCTAGAGCTTCCTAAGAATAATTCTACATTCAGGTTCTGACCATAAGTATTACTGTGCTTATACAGGCAGTCCCCGACTTATGTCGGATCCGCAGTTACGAACGCGGCTTTTCTCGCCCTGGAGGACACGGACTGCAGGACCTCGCGGTCCCGCCGCCCGTGTACTCTGGGGCAAGAAAAGCTGCTCCGCGTCTCCCTGGTCTGCAGACCAGGAAGTCGCGGGGGAAGCCAGCAAGGGGACAGCTCAAGCGCGCCCGGGCTGTCCCGCTGCGGGCGTGTGCCGAGGCTTTGCTCCCCGTCTCCCTGGTTTGACCAGCAGACCAGGGAGATGGGGAGCAAAGCCTCGGAGCACGCCAGCAGTGGGGCAGCGCGGCGTGCCTGGACTGTCCCGCTGCCCGTGTGCTCTGCGGCTTTGCTCCATGTCTCCCAGGTCAGCAGACCAGGGAGACGGAGCAAAGCCGTGGAGGACTTGGGCGTCCCCACCCCCATCTCCCTGGTCTGCTGGGGGGGGCGGGGTGCAGCTAGTGCCCCCCCCAAGCAGACCAGGCTTTTCTTGCCTACCCCTGGGGTAGAGCAGGCAGCGCTGCTCCGGACCAACCCGGCAGCACCCCAGCTGCTCTGCCTCAGGCGTCCTGATTCAGCCACTGCCTCAGGTCTGCTGAGTCTGGACACAGCCTTAGAGACTAAGAGCCAAAATAGCTGTGGATAGAGTGCAATATATCTTCCTGGTTGCTAATACTGAAACCTAAAGATGAATATCTGTGGCACACTGAAAACTTAGCAACAATATAAAGTCAAATTTAGCATCAAAACAGGCATGTGCTACAATATTGATTACATTCATTTTCATATTTAGTTCATTAAAAAACCTGTATATTAAAAAATTATCTGAAGCTGTTGCAGGAAGTTGGTATTTTGATAAAGAATTTAGGACTAGCTTGCTGTAGAGTAGTGGTCTCTAACCTTTCTAACCACAAGATCACTTTTTCAATTTAAGTGCAATTTAAGATCTACCTCAAAACCTAAATACTCTTGCCCCATTTATTTCCCGCCCCTTCTTAGAGGCTCTGCTCGTGCTGCACCCTCACTCCAACACCTCACCTGCTCACTCCATCTCCCTAACTCCTTCATCCTCGTGCACTTTCACCAGGCTGGGCTGCAGGCTTGGAGTGCATGCTCTGGTCTTAGGCCAATGAGTTTAGAGTGTGGGAGGGGCTCTGGATTTAGCCCAGGGCAGGGGATTGGGATCTAGGAGCAGTTTCAAGGTGCAGGGTTTGGAAAGGAGTTTGGGTGCAGGATGATTCATGTCTGGGGCAGGAGGTTGGGTGTAGGAGGAGGTTCAGGAAGCAGGTTTGGCTGGGCACTGTTTAACTGAGACAGCTTCTGGGTGATGGAGCAGTGGGATTAAGGCAGGCTTACTCCTGCCCTGGCCCTGCACCACTCCAAAAAGCAGCTGGCATGTACAGCAAACAGCAGTATCAGAAGCAGCAGTGCAGGGTGGCAGCCGGCTCCCTCGGAAGCCTGAGTGTGAATATTAATTGACAAGCCCAGGCTTATTAGTTAACTGTTTGTATGGTTATACGTTCGCATCCCTAGTTTCTAGTGACTTGTGTTCCACAATTCTCCTTCTGTGTATGAAGGTCCTTCTATTCTAAACTATGGGGTTTTGACTTGTTTAAACTTAGGGAACAGACATGATAGGAGCAAATCAGTCCCTGAAGAATTCATAATTTTGTCTTCCTCCTTAGCTGTAGGCAGGTTTCTCTGAAACTCTCTGCTGTGAAGCAGAAGCAGAGAAGAAAGAAAAAAATTATTTGATCAGTGAGATTTAAAAAAAAAAAAAAAAAAAAAAAGGAGGTGTGTAGCCAGAATTCAGGTTTGTCTGCAGAACATATTTGGCTCTTATCTTTTTACTGCTGAAAAGTATAATATTACATGACATCTTTTTGACTTGGCAGGTCTGTTTCTTTTTTGTGTTATCTTGCAGGACAGAATTTTGGGACAGTGAATTAGCTTGCACAACATAATTGTTAAGTGGACACACTATTTGTAATTGACATTTCAGTTCATTGAGTTAAAAGTGTTTTGATAACTGCATCTACCGCTGAATTCTCCCTGCTGATTTTCTGTTTTACTGTTGATTTTCCTACTGTTAAAGGAGTTCTCCTTTTTTCCTTTAAGACTCACCCTAATAGTGGAGATTGAATCTACTCACTTAAAAAAAAATGCTGTCAGGTGCACAAAGTAAACAAAATGGGGATGGATCAAAAAAACTTTCTCTAATATTTGAATTATAGTAATTGGCTGTTGTTACAAACATGACTGTTGATAAATACGTTTTAATTGTTCATTATATACTAATTTTAATTCATTAGTAACATTTTAAAATTCATTTTCTTCTTCCAATTAGAAATTTAGTGAGAACAACACTAGAAGTTTCAATGGTGAGCCTGATAGTACAGAAAGAAATGATGCTTCCTTTAAAATCTTACAGGTAAGAAAACAGTAAATCTGCAGCAATATCAGGAAATAGTGTTTCTTATTACTACGGTGCAGTGTATTAAGCATTTTACAAATTGGTATAAAAAGACAATATATAAATTAAGGGGAGGTTTTGGAATGCAACACACAGCAAAGAAGAGATTCAGCAGTGAAACTTAGCACTAACTATGCTTTTATTAAAAATATTTTTCTGGCAGGTAAAAGTGGTCATTTAGTTTAACACTCATCTGAAGGAAGATGTAGAGTTTGTATAATTGGAAAGGATGGAGACAAAGCAGAATATGGGGGAATATTATTAAGCAGAATGCCTTTCAGCTGTCTTCTCTCACAGCTAATATAGTTGAATGCAGGCAGTCCCCGGGTTACGTACAAGATAGGGACTGTAGGTTTGTTCTTAAGTTGAATCTGTATGTAAGTCGGAACTGGCGTCGAGATTCAGCCTGTTGAAACTGATCAGCGGCTGATTTCAGGGAGCCCGGGGCAGAGCAACG